GTATATAGTATATAATACACTGAAATATAGTAAGATGGTTGGTTATTAAGCACCAGGCTTTAAAGGCTTTATCTCTACTCTGCTTCATACCACATATGTGACCTGAGGCAAGTAAGTAACTTACTTGCTCTCCCCCATCTTCCCATAGGGTTGTGGTGAGAATTAAAGGCACCAATACATGTGAAGTGCTTAGAACAGTGCCTAGCACTTAATATGCACACCATAAATGTCATCTACTTTAATTACATAATTATTTTTACAGAAAAAGGCATCCCAGCTTAGACCACTCATTACAAATCCTGATAATATTAAAATTTTAATTTACTTTACCAACATTTAGGAAAGTTGAGCTTGTTTATGCTATATCTACCCTATTCACAAGTTCAATTTTCCCCAACCCAGAGTCACTATTAGTTCCTCTTCTGACTCATCACATAGAAAGGTAGACAGTCTGGAACCTACTGGGCATACTGAAAGGAATTTCTTAATCTACCTGGATTTACATGGTTTACTAAGTAGAATTTATCTTACATAATGTTCAATAAATATGCTGAATAATTATGACTTAAAATTGTGCTCACTTAAAAGTGCTTTCTATATATCACATGCTCCTTCAAACTACAGGGTAGGTGTTTAGCCCCATCTTGACAGAAAAACGACTTATCACTTAAGTAAAAACAAAGATTCACATTTTCTGACTTCTAGCCAAAAACAGATTTTGCGGGTGGCCTGATGTTCAAAATTTTGCCAAGCAAAGTATAAATTAGAGAGTCAGAAGCAATCTCAGAGCCTACAAATTTGACTCTAATTTCTATTCAGTTCCTTTTACTGTTTTCCCCATTCAGATGTTTAAATTAAGATAACCTCTAATATAAAGTTATAGAAAAAAACAAAGTTATAGGGCAATAAGCTAAATAATGCAAAGCAGGTTAATTCTTTTTTAAATTTTTTTTTAAATTTTATTTTAAGTAGGCTTCACACTTAATATAGGGCTTGAATTCATGACCCCAAGATTAAGAATTGCACAATCTACCAACGGAGCCAGCCAGGTGCCTCCAGAGTAGGTTAATTCTTAAAAACACTTTTCCCAAGATGCACAAAAAACCCCACAAAAACATTTAAAATATTGCTCTACCACTTATTCACTTTCCATGTGATCCTGAGTCATTTTTAAATTCTCCAAGCTTCCATTTTCTCTTCTGGAAGTGAGGATAAAAAGAGAAACTATAACTACCACAAGGGATTGCTGTGAGCATTAATTAAAACAACACATAAAGCACTCTAGCCAACCACTGCGAAAACAGTAAGTTTCGACATATATTACCTTTATATTTAAATCAAAACTTCAGTGCCATTTGACCTCGACCTATTGGATTATTATATTTTCTAGGGTAATCAGATCTGTTAACTCTTCTGCAAACCTATTAAATGGCAGTAACTTCATAAGCACTATGAAAACAGGAGTGACACTGCCTAGGAATCCTTCCTCAACTGTCCCCCACTCAGGAAATAGGCTGTACTTAACACTGTACTTTACCACAGTTCCCTATATTACTTGAGAGGCCCTGTGGACAAGCCTGTGTCCTATTCATTTCTGTATCCCCAGACTGCAGCCCAATAGTTCTTAACCCTGACTCACTGTAGAATCACATGCGAAGTTTATCAAAATATTAATGCCTGGGATCCATCCCAGGCCCATTAAATCAAAAGGGGGTCAGGGAGGGAGAGGGGAAGTATTCTCCATGGGGAGCATTTTTTTAAGATCCTCACATGATTTTAATTAGCTACCACAATTAAGAACCACTGCACTCTGATATTTAAAATATTATACAAACAGGTATATATACATGTATGTGTGAATATATGTATAAGTATATAGCTACAGAAATGTAAGTCTCAGCTCAAGACCCTCACCCTCACTAGCTTCTCACAGCCCAATCATCTCTTTCCTCTAACAAACTATATATATATATATTTTTTTTTAAGATTTTTAAAGTAATCTCCACACCCAACGTGGGGCCTGAACTCACAACCCCGAGATTAAGGGTTGCACGCTCCACCAACTGAGTCAGTGAGGTGCCCCTGAACACAAAAAATTTCTAATAAACAATTTGCTGTTAAGATGGCTTTTCAATTGTTAACTCAGTACTTAAATTTTTTCATATAATTATGCCTTATCCTTCCTCCTGGATTACAGTTCTGCTCCTTGAGAATATACACTGCCTTACTCTTCTTGTTTTTTCCACAGCACTTACAACAGTGCCTTGAACACAGACATGTAATAAACATCTGACAGATCTAATAAACATATACCAAAATTATTGGCAGGAGGTATATTACATCCAAATTATCCAATTTGGGCTACTGCCCAAAAAAATGTAAGAATTTAGAAAAAGAAACATTTTTAAAAAAATCTTTACCTCAGTAAATGAGAACTAAAGTTCGTCTCACTAACGACAACTGAATATTTGCACTTTTTATGACAGTTATCAGAAGCAGTAACCCCCCCAGGTTCACATCCCCATCTACCACTTTTAGTTTTTGACTTGCTTCCTCACTAAAACTATCTTCTGGTTGTTTGTGGTATCTTTAGCTGTTGTCAGGTATCTTTACAACAATTTTATATTACTCTGTAATTAGTAAAATAAGTTAATGAAAGTCACACTGATGTGTCATGTTACTCTTCTAATATAAACTCGGTGGAGAATACTGCCTGAAAATAAGAGGCTTTCTCAACATTAAATAATAATACAAGTCCACTCTTGAATATTGACAGATTGGTGATTTTGTTTTTATATTTGCAAACCTGAAAATTTTGTAAAATATTATGACTTCTTAAACCAGGAGCACTAAGTTATATTACACAAGAAACTCCACAGCAACTGATATTCTCAATGCTGAAACTACTAAGTGAAATGAATGGCACACAATTCTAAAAAAACAACGCACAACAACCTAAAGATATAAAGATGGCCCACCTTTAAAGTTTTGTGTCATATATTTACCACTATTAAAATAATCTGAACGACTTAAGTTGTTTTTATGAAAATATGAGGAGGAGGCCCTCAAGAAGTATGCCTGCTAATTAGATACTGCGGTAAAACATTACCATGTTTTGTTGCGTCCTACAGCAACAGATAGAGCCATAGTTACCACGAAAAGAAAGCAGTCCTCAATTCCCCTATTCAATAAAAAAGGTTCAAATTCCACAGACCAAAAAATGGTACCCTGGGTTGTTTGTTTTTAAGGAAGATTAAATTTAGGACTTGCCAACACCCAAACGAAAAACATTCCAGAGTATTAGACTCAATTGTAGTGGGGAGTCATCTACATTCTCAGCACTATGTTCTCTAACCCAAAGCAGGAGTATTAACAAAGGATGTTTCTTAGGACCTCGTAAGATACACCACACTTATTTCCCCCAGTAAACATTACCCTTGTTAAAAACAAAAACAAAGAAGGTACTTGAGAAGTACCAATTCTAGCACAAGCAGCCAGACAAAAAATGAAGTTTAACATCTGCCAAGATATTTCCCAAAATAAGACCCCTGTCAGATGAACAATGAGGAAAAGACTGAAAATGACTAATTCTTTTATTTGGACCATCAGCAACTTTTAAAAATAAAGTTGAGGAATGTAGCTTTTCCAAAGCCTTGTCTCTAGTTTCCCCTTAAACTTCATATTTTTAACTTAAGAAAAAAAAAAACCTAGAAATTTGATTACCACTCTCATGAATTCCTTTTAAAGCAATTTAATGAATAACAGATCCTTTGTGCAAGTAGCAAACCACAGAGGACAGTTTTGCTGGCTGATAAAAATCTGTCTGAAACATGCATATAAAAACATATATCCTTCAAAGACAAACCGTAATTTTCCAGGTATGGAAAACATATTAACACTTAAAAAGTGGGGTATGTTGGACACACACCCTAACTTACTGTGAATGCTTTTACTTGAACCACAATTAAAGTTAGCACATTCTTATTAAGTATTTACTGGTTATCAAAGTTGAATAAATTAGAAAGCCACGAGTAAAAAAAACTTAAAAAATAAAAAAATAAAACCTAAAGAGCCAATGAGAAAAAGATGCAACTACTTTGGGTGAAACAAGGTTGTGTAATCACTTCCCAAAACCAGTGCACTTCTATTAAAGTTACCAAAATTGTTTAGGATTTTTTTTTTTTTGAGGGTAGAGATAGGTGCGGTTACACATTAAGGAAAAATGTTTCACCACTCACTCTAATAAGAAGATGCTGCTGCCTGCAGGAATGCTGACACCTCTCAAAAATACAAAACAAAAACAAAAACCCTACCACAACTGTTTTCCAAAATATACAGAGCCAAATACTTAAATACAAGGAAAGATGGTCTTAAAAAGAATTGTGGATTACTACAACGTTCCTATTGTCCTAATACCACTCAGAATAAAGTGTAAGGGTGTGTGTGTGTGTGTGTGTGTGTGTGTGTGTGTGTGTGTGTGTGTGTTGGGGAGCGCTGTTCCCAAAAGCCGGTTTACAGACGGAAGTGATATACTAATTTAGATATACTCATCTTGGATCCACTGAAAAATAAAGCTGTGCTGCACAGTGCTAAGGCCACGTTTCTTTACAGGTGCTATTAAACACTATCAAGAGAAGAGACCAACAATCCAGTAACTTCAGATAGACACGTGGGAAACTAAACTTAGTATGTCGTCATCACCATTAATCAATTTTTCTAACTGATTAAGCAAAAACAAACAGCCCTAGGTGGGCAAGTTTTGGAGCCACCAGCTGTCCTCTAAAGAAGGATCCTGAATCTGAGACTTTAGCCAGGAAGCCTGAAAAGCACGTGTCCTACTTTGGGTTTGGGGAACTTCCCGGGAAGCATTTGTTCAGAGTAAAACTCCATCACCCTCGGCGCCTGCCTAACTCGGCGAAAGGATAAGTACTGCCTAGCGCGGGGAAACTCTGCCGCCGGGAGGACGGGGGAGCTCCCCGCCGCGGCCCCCGCCCGCTCACCTCCGCCGTGGGGATGTTGACCACGCCGGTGGAGCGACGCTTCTCCCGCAGCTTTCTCTTCTCGATTTGCCCCTTGCCTTTCCTGGCACTGGGGCCCGCACTCTTGCCCTTCTCCGGGGCGCCGTCGCGCTCCTCCTCGTCGCCCCGGGCCGGCGGTGCCCCCGAGGCGGAGACCGCGGCGGCGGCCGTGGGGGGCGGCTCGTCCTCGGGCCGCCGGGGGCCGGGGGCGGACCGGGGCAGCGCCGCTGGGCCCACGGCGCAGTTCACGCCCCCAGAGCCGGGGGCGGCAGGTGCGGCCGCGCCGCCCGGGAGGTTGTTGTTGAGCTCGTTGGCCGCGGCGGCGGCGGCGGCGGCGGCGGCGGCGGCGGCGGCGGGGCCCAGGGCCCCCGCTGGGGGCTTCCCGGTCGCGTCGCTGCCGCCCCCGCTCGGAGGGGCCGGGCCCGGGGGGTTCTGCTTCGCACGCATCTTCTCGCGCTTCGCCTTCCACTCCTCCAGGAAGTCTGTGGTGCTGCCGCTGCTGCCGCTGCTGGTCCGGTAGCCACCGGTCGCCATATTCCCAGCGGGACCGGCCGGGCTCTCACCTCAGGCCGCCCCGCCCGGCTCCAGCCGCCGCCGCCTCTGCCTTCCCGAGGCCGGGAGGATGCGAGGGAACGACCCCCGGGGCGCGGGGGCGGCCCGGACTCCCCCGGCGGCCGGCAGCTCTGAGGCGAAACACAAAAGGGGGCGGAGAAGGGAAGCGTTAAGGTCCTCGCCCGGCCGGAGGGTCTGCCCCGCGGCCCGCCCCGGAGCCCCCCGCCCCCGCAGAGCGCGCTGACCAGGCCCCGCTGGCAAGTGGCTGCTGAGTCCCCACCCTGCAAAGTTTCTCCGTCGCACCTACACGGCGGGCCTGGACGATCGCCGCCCCTCGAGGGGAGGAGAAAAGGGCTTGTCCCCACCCCCCGGCCCGCCCGCCCCATCCCCACCGGGGTCTGCGCCTGCGGCGGTCGGGGGACCAGGGCCAGACCCCGCCACCTGTCGGCCCGTCGCATCTCCTGCCCCTCGCTCCGGCCCCCGTCGGCCCAAGGTCCCCGCCACCAGCACCTTCATTCCTGGGTGAGGCGCGAAGCCCCCAGGCGGCTCGCTGAAGAGGCGGGACGCGTACAGACACCAGCTGTGCAGCCGCGTCGGGAGGACGGGTGCGCGGGTCGAGCGCGGGCGGCCGGAGCAGCCCCTTACCTGAGAGGTGTCCTGGAGGGCCAGGCGCGGGTCTGGGAGTCGGCGCCCAGGTGAACCCACGCGGCGGCGCGGAAGGAGCCGCAGCCAACTCGCGGCCGGAGCTCAAGGCTCCGCCGGGCCAGGAGGGAGAGAGAGAGGGAGGGAGCGAGGGGCGGGAGGGGAGCCGAGCGGCGCCGAAGCGCGGGCGGAAAGGGCCGAGACGGCGAGCGAGGGGCGCGGCGCGCCGTGGGGGGGAGGGTCGTGCCCGCCGACGCCCCGCCCCCGGCTCTCAGGTGCGCGCCGCCTGGTCCAGCCCGCCGCTGCAGCCCGTCCCGCGCGCGCCAGTCCCACCGCACTTTCCTGGGCTCGCGGCCCCACGGCGGCGGGACCCGCGGCAACTCTGACCCCGAGCGGGGCAGCCCTCCACGCCCTTCACCCCGCTCCTGTTCTCCGCCTCTTCGTCTCCACCACTCTTCCTTCTAAGTACAAGACATATTCTTCGAGGGAAAATCTCGAATGCTGCTGGCCGAGGGGGAAAATGCAATGAAGTTGTGATGATTCAGACCTGACTGGCCAGGATGGGAAAACGCTCGCGCGTCACTTTTCCTGGTCGCTGCCCCCTTTTCAGATGTACTAGGGTGGCAGACAAAAGAGCTGAAGAAAAAAAAACGAACCAAACCCAGACGCTTCTTAGAAAAGCCTGTGGTTTCTGGGTGAAAGGGTGGGCTGAAAGAAGGAGGGGCTTAACTTATCAGTGAACTATCAAGGGTTTACTACTATTTTAGGCTTGCAAGAGAAAACTAAAAACTCATTTTGACAGTGTATTGCATTGGCATCCCAACCCTATTTGGAATTGTCCTTTTAACCCTGTCTCTACACCTCTTCTTTACAGAGTGAATTTAGCAGTAAAGTTCCCTACCAAGACACCAAAGCTGTGTTGATGCTGATTTGATGCGACGTGGGGCGGTGATTGACTCTCTTTTTCCATCCTTAAACGTGTCATAAGGGTATATCTTATCCTCAGATGCAAGTCATCTAACATTTCTGGATCAGGGCTGGGTGAACTGCCACCATCATGCACCTGAGGAGACAAACCTCGCTATATTACAAGTGGTGCCGGGGCACATCATGGTCACAGGCTACAATTGCCAGGTCACCACTTTGTTAAAAAAAAAAAAAAAAGTAGGCGAGCCCTGAGTCACACTCTTACCTAACATAAATCTTTCTACCTACTTAGTATTCCTGTTTTGCCCAGGTGGCACATGGTGGGTGAGCAGTCAGTGTGTGCCTGCCACAAGAATGAGATTGGGAGAAAGTGATTCACATGCTATTTATTTCTCGGAGGGAAAGTCACACAGTTCCCGTCCTGGGTCTGGCTGTTGGGGTGAACGCGTGGGTAGCAGGGAGGGAGCTCTGGAAAAATCCTTAGAAAATTAAAGGCCTTCTTTGGGAACTGGTTTCAAAGGCTGAGCCTAGCTGGTACCATCCTGGGTGTGCCACCTGAAATTCCTCAATTACAGACTCACTAGAGTGTTTTGTTTTCTGAGTTTTAAGGGGGTAGTAGGAGGGTTAGGCATTAAATAGATTCACATTAATGCTTTGTAACTTACCAAAGGATTTTCACCTGGAGGGGCTGCGGGGTACAGTAGAAAGCGGATACAGTGTGCCTGAATCCAAGTTCTTAAGTAGCTGCGAGATCTCCCGGGTGTTTAAATTCTCTGAAACTCAGCTTTCTTTACTATCAAATCAGCAACAACAGCATATATTTTTAAGCTATCCTAAGAATTGACACTGTGTGCTTGGTTCAAGGAAGACACTCAGTAAATAACCCTTTTATTAATAGGATATCAAACAGTTTTTGGTCTCTAAGAAGTTGGGGAGGGGTGTGGAGGGAGAGAAGGCAGGCCAAACAGTAAAGGTACTGAATATACAATATTAATTTGAAAATTATAGACAGAATGAACTAGAATAACGCTTACGTCACAAATTTATCACTGCACTTTTGGACCAGTTCTCAGTATTCATAGGCTCTGACTCAGGAATTGGCTACTACTGACTCCTGTGGCTTTGGGCAAGTTGCTTAACTTTGGGGCCTCTGTTTACTTACATATAAAATGGGGATAATGATACTTCCTACATTGTGAGAGTGTTGTGAAGGTGCCTGAGATCCTTGGATAAAAGGTAGTATATGAGAACCAGAGTAGTTATTATTAGTCTATAAATGCCCTAGGAACTATGGATGAAAGAGATTATTGAGGTACAAAGCACTGTGTATTATTATTGTTATCATTTATTATACCTTTTGTCTTTGCCTTACCATTCTCATTTCCAAAGATGTATTTCACAGCCAGACTGCTTCCAGCACTGCACCAAGATATTTAGCTGAGTCAGTCCTAAATTACAAAATGTTTGCGTATCATCAATCTTTATGTTTAGCATTCTGATGAAATAATCCTCAAAGACTCAGAGCATTGTTTCTCAACCATGGCACTGTTGACGTTGGGGACTTGGTAATTCTTGGGGGTTTGTCCTGTCCATTGTAGGATGCTTAGCAGCATCCTTGGCTTGTAGCCACTAGATATCAGTAGTTGCCCCCAACCCCCAGTTGTGACTTTGCCACATGTTCCCTGGAGGGGAAAATCTTCCCCAGTTGAGAACTGAGCTAGCCCTAAAATAACTAATTTCGGTGATACACTTGCTCTTAAATAATAAAGGGAAATATGATGATGCTAACAAAGAGATTCATTGTAATATATCTGAATGAAACTCATTCTAAATGTTAAGTCTTCATGTTTTCAAGGCAGTGGATTAGCTATGATGCGAAATAGCCGATTTGCATGTGTTGAAATAATTAATAGGATATTGAGGAATAGCTATTGTGCCTTCAATGCAAATATTTCTGGAACATACGCAATTCACCCTCTAAAATCAAAATAATAGATGTACATAGTTTTAGAAGGTAAATACTTTAGTTCTGCAAGGATTATTACAAAAGACAATAATCCCCTGCCTAGCCTTCCCACTCCCAAAACCCTACCCAAGATTTTAAATTTTTATATCTATTTCTGCTACTATAAATCACCATATTAATTTTAATAGCCTTAGCACCTTCTTGATTTCTTCATTTTTAGACATACTTTTTTGACTTTCTAATAGAGAAAAAGAAAATGTAGCTCTCTTATACTAACTACACGTATACTTTTCTTATTCCTAAACTCCTGCTGTATTTATATTACAATTTTATTAAATAAACATTTAATGTTTGTTGTGTTAAGACTATGCAAATATTGTTCACAGCTGAGCCATGCAGTGTACTATGATTGCATTTTTACAACTTTTGTCTTTTTACACAGTTATTTACTTTTCTTCCACAGGTAAAACTTGCGATTTTTAAAATCATTTCATCATATTCCATATAGCAGTCACAAATTGAAACCCAAACTTTCCTCCTCCCAGTGTAATTAATCATATCATGTAACCTATCAGTTCTATTTCTTTTTCTTGGAGATATCTCTCTTGGAGTCCTCCATCCCCGGGTGTGATCTGGGTTGATTTTAAGACTCATGGCTCTGTGGTCATCCTAGGATTATGTTTCCCTAACATCCTGGGAATCATTTCCTATGCAAACCTCTTGTTTCCTGAATCCCATATTGTCCTCTTTCCTTTCTACCCCCATCATTTCAGTGGAGTACATCTTCAGTTTATTCTGGAGATAGGATTTCATATTCTTGAAGACCTTGTATGTTGGAAAACATTTTTAATTTATCTTCACACTCAACAGTTTGGTGGGGCATGGAACTCTAGGTTAGAAATCACTTTCCTTCATAATGTTAAAGGTGTCATGTGGTACCTGGTGGCTCAATTGGTTGGACATCCAACTCTTGATTTTGTCTCAGGTCATGATCTCAGGGTTGTGAGATGGAGTCCTGTGAGGGGCTCCATGTTCAGCAGGGAGTCTGCACTAGATTCTCTCCCTCTCCCTCTGCCCCCCCCCCGCCACACACACACACTCTGTCTCTTTCTCTCTCTCTTAACAAAAAAGAAAAAAAAAGTTCACTATATTGTCTTCTAGTTTTCCATAGTTGATGCTGAGAAGACCAATGGCATTCTGATTCCTTTGTATTTTCTCTCTGGAAGTTTCTGGAACGTCTTCCCCAGATCTTCTGGAATATCTTGGATTTACCCTGATTTAGCCTTTCTTCATTATTATATTGGCACTCAGTGGGCCCTTTCAGTCGGCCATCTGCCCTTTAGCTGGGAAACTTCTTTATCCTATACCTTTGGTAATTCTTCTCTTCAATTTTCTCTGTTCTCTCTAGAACTTCTGTTAAATAAATGTTGGACTTCTAAACATTCTCCAGTGTTTAATCTTTTCTCTCCTAGTTTCCATCTCTTTGGCATGTTTTTCTACTTTCAGTGAAATTTTCTTCATCTTTTTTTTTTAAGATTTTATTCATTTATTTGACAGAGAGAAAGAGAGAGAGCTCAAGTAGGCAGAGTGGCAGGCAGAGGGAGAGGGAGAAGCAGGCTCTCCACTGAGCAGGGAGCCGGATGTGGGGCTTGATCCCAGGACCCTGGGACCATGACCTGAGCTGAAGGCAGCCGCTTAACTGACTGAGCCACCCAGGTGTCCCCAAATTTTCTTCATCT